TACGTTTGTTTGTTTTTATAGTGATTAAGATGATAACACAATGTTGACTGCTGTACCCCTATTTTTAACATTTTTACCTATAGTGTCTGTTTGTTTTGTTCACGCATCGTTGTCAATATAATGGAATTTGATGCGACTGTCATACAAAGGAGAGGTTTAGCTAGCTATAAACAAGGTTCAATCCACCAATCTCACATAAGAAAATGCCTGTACCAAGTCAGGAATATGACACTGGTTATCCATTCGTTTGATGTGTTTGAGCTATTTATTTTGCCATTTGATTAGGGACTTTTCTTTTTGAATTTTCCTCGGGAGTTCAGTATTTTTGTGATTTTACTTTTTGATACAATACACAACTGGTTTTTTTCACCAAGTAAAAATATTACCTTTGTTGGTTGTACAGAGGGATTTCTAAAATGAACAATCTTTGTCTTTTCAAAGTTAACATTAAATCATTTATTTTTACACCATGTATTAAGAATATCTAACATTATTTGTAAATCATTTTCATTTTCAGCAAGTAATACAATATCATCTACATATAATAGAATACCAATTTTTTTCACCATTGATTTCGATACCGATGTCTAGACATTTGATGTCTGTGACTAAACTATTTATAAAAATGTTAAATAATATAGTTGATAAAACACACCCTTGTTTTAAGCTTGAGTTTACATTGAACCACTCAGTCGAGCTTCCATACAATTTAATTGCACATTCAACCTGAGAATAAATCGTTTTAAAAGTATTCAAAATGGTGTACTGATTCCAAGATCATTTGAATATCTAAACAATAAACTTCTGTTTACTGTATCATAAGCTTTATTGAAATCTTCAAAAACAGCAAAAGTTGACATTTTTTTTAGTTTCCTCGTCTCATTATTAAATGGACTTAACATCCTAAATTTTACGGTAATTTTGTACTTAAAGCGCGGAAATCACTATGTGATCCGTGTAAACTCATCGAACATTTAAACAAACTTATTAGTAAAGGTTATATTACCAATGTTGTAATTAGATCTTTGAATATAGTTTACATTGGCACTAATATCGATTTTGTCATCAGCAAATTAAAACATAACTAAATTTGTATTCTTTTCAAACGGGATGTATAAAGACACACCCACGTTCATTTTGATCTATAAAGAGGTTAACTCCTAACTATTCTACTGCCTATCGATACATTTATTTTTTGCATTGCACAAGTCATATCTTCTTTGACCGTCCATGACGTTAAAATACTAAATCCCTGCGATGTGTTTTAGTTGATTTTAGTCTCTGATGCATGATTTTTTATTATTAATTATTTTTGGCTTTTAACTAGCTGTCAGTAACTGCGAGTACTCTCAAATCGTATTTTCTTGTTTTTTTTACCTGTTGATACTAATTGTTATGCTTTTTTGTTATTTAATGTTTACTTATCCAGGGTTATATCTGGTCTATATACCAGCTTTGATAAGTGTTTGGTATTACTATTAATTTTCACTTCTTCGTACTATGCACATCAAAATTATTTATTTTGTAAAGATATTTCCTTTCTCCATTTGAACTGTACACGTATACCTAACAACAAAATTAATTTCATTTACCTGTGTTTAAAGTAATTGCAAATGGCTGATATTTTTGTTCAAGCATATTGTTTTTCTTAAATGGTTTAACATTTCACAGCGGTATAACATGTTACTTTAATTATTCTTCCCTTAGTTTATTTATTTTGTATTTAAATTGTATCATAGATCAAATTTATTTGTTCAGTGTATGTTCACTGGTGTTAATATGTCTTTTGATTGAGTTAAGCCATTTCAATTGATATTTTATAGTGTGTCTTTCTATGTTGTGATGTTACACTATTGTTTCAGATAAGGGTGAAGGTTTGGTACCATTTAAACGTTAAAACCCGCTGCAATTGTTTGCACCTGTCCTAAGTCAGAAATCTGATGTTCAGTAGTTGTCGTTTGTTGATGTGGTTCATAAGTGTTTCTCGTTTCTCGTTTTATATATAGATTAGACCGTTGGTTTTCCCGTTTGAATGGTTTTACACTAGTAATTTTTGGGGCCCTTTATAGCTTGCTGTTCGGTGTGAGCCAAGGCTCCGTGTTGAAGACCGTACTTTGACCTATAATGGTTTACTTTTATAAATTTTGACTTGGATGGAGAGTTGTCTCAATGGCACTCATACCACATCTTCTTATATCTATTAACTGTACTTAAATGATCAATCATAAGTGCTTCTTCTTTTACGAAAACCATTTTGTTCATCATGTAAAATATCTCTATGGTCTAACCAAGTTACAATTCAAATACTACAATATACTTTATAAGCCCACGGTGCTAAAGTAATTCCCCAATAAGACAATGGATCCCTGGAATCCGATGTAGAACACTTTGGGATAGGTGTGATTATCCATTTACACCACACAGATGGAATTTTACCAAATTTAAAACATATATTAAATAATCTAAGCAAAACAAGTAATAATAAATTATTTTTAAACAATTCTACAGGTATCAAATCGATCCCTGGCGCTTTGCCATTTTTAGCTTACGTTAATACCTTTAAAACTTCACCAATACTAATTTCAGAATCTAAATCAACATCTTAAATATTATTTTATCTTTCAAGTTTGCTACAGTATCACAATTCAACACATTTTCATAAGAAGTTTTCGATTTGCATTTTGGTGAGTTTTGACGAGGTAATTGTCAAGTTAAAGTTATGCAATTTTGCTTATTGTCTCAAGTGAATCACTGATTAAGTATGACACAATTATTGATTACTTCCAGACCAATACAGCAGTGATTTTAAAGTAAAATAGACAACACTTGCAATCTTTTTATTTTTTAAACAGATTCCATTATTCATCTTTTCTTTAAAACAAAATACACCAGATTACACCATAAAAGCTCATCTTTAAGACAAAATTTACAAAATAATTTTATGTAATGAAGATTGAAAGTTGCAAACAAGACATTGACTAGACTGAAAATCAACTTATGGTTGAGTTTCATATACTAAAACATGTTGAAGTTTCAAGTCTTTCTAGATATTAGTCCCAGCTCACATTGGATTTTGGTGGTCAATGATAGATTATGTTTTTCAACATATATCAGATAGATTTATATCAGTCCTCCACTGAAGCCTAACTACTCAGCCGGATGATCTGTTCACATACATGTGAACCTCCCGACGGGAGTACAATAATCCCGTTTTCAGGGGTCTCCTCCCGACATCCCGTTGAAGAGAAAAAAATCCCGTGTATGAAATTTCTTGAATGAAAAATTTCTGCCCAACATATCATCTCAGACATCTGGTGTAACTGACATTACCTGAAGTTATATTTTACCAGTAAATCAATTAACATGCACAATTATACGGCTTCACTTGTCAGCTTGGGTGTCAAACATACTGGTAATCAACGATTTTTACCTCAGGCTAACTGCCGTTGTGTTATAAAAACTTTGTGTATTTATTGGGTTTCTTCCCTTGATTTATCCTGTTTTAAGTTACTTTCCTTTAAATAATGAAAATTTAAAAAAAAATATAAATGAAATATAAATTGAACAAAAAATCATAAAAGGATAGTAATTAAATGATTTCAAATATCAAAGGACAAATAAAAAAAAATAATTTGTAAATTATTTGAGGGTTCTATACTTCCTTTCAAGGCTTAAATTGAAATTTATATAGAAACTATGACCCTTGTTTTTAGTTAGAATGAAATTCTACACATTCAAATAAGAACTAATTGCAAATGCAGATAATGAAACAAATGTTCTGAAATTTGAATGCAATGATAATTGTATAGAATAATGATATAAAATATATGAAGTAAAAAATTTAAAGAACATACTTAAAAAAAAATCGTAAGGGTTCCGCGGAACCCAGTGTCTCGCCTACTTTTGCTGTTAATCGCAGGCTCAACAACAATAAGGAAAAAAATTAATAAAAATATTCCTCTCTATACTATCTTTTGATTGTAAGTAGCTTCGGTGCAAGTTTGGTAAAAATCCAGGATAGTTTATGAATCTAATAAATGTTTTAAAAACTTAAACTGCAGACTGTATGTAATGTTAACTGGAAGTCCATTTATAAGTAAAATACAGAAAAAATGGAACAAAATTTTAACAAAATTTCCTTCTAGATACTAGCTTTTAATCATAAACAAGCTTCTGTCCAAGTTTGGTACAAATCCAAGATAGTTTAAGAAAGTTGTTAAAATTTTAAAAACTTTAACCACAGAGTGAATGTAATGTTTCCTGGTAGAAAAACTAAGTCCATTTATAAGTAAAATACAGAAAATATAGAATTTTTTTTTTTACAAAATTTACTTTTGGATATTATTTTATGATCATAAACAAGCTTCTGTCCAAGTTTGGTAGAAATCCAGGATAGTTTAAGAAAGATATTAAAATTTCAAAAACTTTAACCACAGAGTGAATATTTGTGGACGCCGCCGACGCCGACGGAATGTAGGATCGCTATGTCTCGCTTTTTCGACAAAAAAGAATGTTAGATTGAACATGTAGAATATAAAGATAGAGAAACTTTATAAATACAAGGGTACTATAAACATAATACATTGGATGGAAAGTTGAAGAAAACACACTTTAAAAGACAATGTTTACAGCACACGGTTACATTTACGACAAAATTTATGTCGATTAAAAACCTCCTGATCTGAGTCCTAATCTCCTGACCAAAATTTACAAATCTCCTGATCTGAGTGTCACAGGCCATCACATGTATGTGTTCACGCTGTCTATTCAATTTGTCAACAGTAAGTTTAATTTTCTCCATGTATTTAATGTCACTACTAGGTACTAATCCCTATAAGTTCGTCTAATTAGTCGTACTGCTGACCCTCATTTAATTTTATTGTGAGATTTGCACATAATGTCTTGTTTAACGTTCGCGCGAAATGGCACAAGAAAATAGTACTTGCAGGGCTTTGATTCTATGGGGTTTTGTAATTTTTAACACTGATTCAAATCGGATTTCACAAAAGGTCAAGGTTAATTTAATCAAACGGAAGTTATTGAAATTCAGATTTAAATGGGCATGTGTTATAAGGTTAGAAGCGCTCACCTGCATTATAATTAAGTGAAAATGGTAGTATTTTAATTGCAGGTAAGCTCCCATTAACATATTTTAGAAATAGAGATACGTCATACTGTGTGACAAACCAAGGAATCTTAAAAATCACGTCTGCCAACAGCTGATCATGACAGGGGTTTGTTAGCAGCACTATCCGCAGGCCCGTTTAAAAGAAAAAAAAAACATTTCGTTGTCAGTTATTGAATGAAGAATTTATCTCTAGTTCTTGGAATCCGTGAGTAGCTGAAATATTTAGCTTGGCAACTGCTTCCATAATGTTTGTAACCTGGAAAAGATAAGGGTGAAGGGAGTTGTCATTTTGATCACATTTCTAAATCAATCAGGTCTGGACAATAAATGGAATGAAAATACAGTTTTATAGATCTTTTAGCTTTTGTATATTCTGCTAAACTTGACCCAAGATTTTAGCATACTTGACAACTTGATGTCGTATAACAGTCACTTGTTTCTCTCTGTCCACTTCACAACATGTTTTAGTATATGAAAATCAACAATATAGTAGTCTGGTGTTCTCCCGAATCCGGGTCCGTTCGCCCCAAAATTTTTAACATCAAAGCTAGTTAAAACAACAATCACGATTTTCAAACACATAACAATAGCACCAAGTTTAGCTGTGTAAACACCATATCAACAGTAATCATATATAATTAACATATAATAATTTAAAATCATCAAATCAATTTAAAGCAATATTTCATTTAAAAATTCCTGAATTTTTATTTATGATATTAAAAATATTTTGGTATAAACATCTAAAAAAACATCTAACAATTCATCAGATCAGGTTTTTGAATATAAAAAAAAGGGTGCAAACGGACCCAGGGGGCGAACATGTATTTGGCGCGAACGGACCCGATACCTGTTCTCCCCACGCCCACATTGTTGATATTTTCGTCAAGTTGAAGATTACATGTACCTCTAAGACCTTGATCAAAACGAATTCTGCAGTTACTGATCATGCTGATTGAGCTGGTAATTGGGTAAATTTTACACAGATAAATCTTTTTCCTGGATACTCTTTTCTGTGTTTCCCATGTTTCAGCGGGCAGGGTTAAAGTTATTAAAATAACAGGGAAAGATAAAAAACACAATGAATTTACATTTTTATACATGTGGTTTACTTGAATGAACTTACAAATTTCCTAATTGGTTTATACAAAGATCTATTTTTAACACAACCAATTAACATGATGAACTACAAATAGTTATGAATGGAAGTCATTGTCTGCTTAAAATTTAAAGGAAACTTAAATTTAAAATAATGTGAAGCAACTGTTTAATTTGGTCTCAAATGTCATGTTTTAAAAATATTAAACAATCATTTCTATTGGTTCTTGCATCATATGCATTCATATATTATTGTGACAATCAGCAAGTTGGTGTATATGTAAGTCCATAGTTGTGTATAATTTTCTACATCAGAGACATATAAATTGATTGTGCTGTAATTTATTGAGCTAAATACACTATTTTTTAACTAAAATTTGCAACAAAGTACAATTGTAGTTACCGGTAATAATTTCATTGAACTAAACTTTTAAGAATTTGTCAGGTTTTATACATTTCTACCTGCCAAAGGAAAGATTGCAACAAATACATGTTCACACAGAAGCGAAATTTGTCTGTTCATTTTAATTCTTTTGTTTAAGAAGTTGCATTCCAAATACATGCATCTTTATCATACAAATCTGAATGTTAAATGTACATGTTCATTGTCAACAAGAAAAGGGGATGAAGGAATTATAATTATGCCCCACCTAGGGGCATTATGTTTTTCGATCTGTGGGTCCGTTCGTCCGTCCGTCCGTCTGTCCCACTTCAGGTTAAAGTTTTTGGTCAAGGTAGTTTTTGATGAAGTTGAAGTCCAATCAACTTGAAACTTAGTACACATGTTCCCTATGATATGATCTTTCTAATGCCAAATTAGAGTTTTGACCCCAATTTCATGGTCCACTGAACATAGAAAATGATAGTGCGAGTGGGGCATCCCTGTACTATGGACACAGTCTTGTTTTTAGACATAACTTCTAATGAGAAATGAATACACCTCCAACTATATCTTCACTATGAACAAAGGTTAATAATTCTCCTTTAGTTACTGAGTAACTGTATCCTGACTATTCATGCTATTAGCAGAGTGCACAGAAATCAACATTTCTGAAGCTACCAAGCACTGGGGTCGATTATCTAAGACTGGATTTTGACTCTGTACATATAAGTGGGTTTTTATTTTGTGTTTGAAAATTGATTTTTCTTTATATTCGTATAAGTAAAGAAATTCTGTTGAGAATATATTGACTTATTTTCTCAATTCACTCTGTTCAACCGAAAATAAATTATTTATGTACTCTAGGCTCCTTATTTTCTGACGACACCCTAATACCAACCACGAAAAATAATATGTATGTCTCAAATATTTGCAGTGAAATTATTTCTGTATTAATAAAGACAAACACCATTATAGAGACTGTCAGGTGCAGTGACCATCTTCACAATTTATTAAACACATAAAACACAAGACAAATGTCCTCAAATAGTTTTCACCACAAATGGCATCAGTTCATTCAAATAATATACAATGGCATCAGTTCATTCAATTAACATACAATCTACAAAAGAAAAGCGCATAATTAAAATATGAACTCTACATATATAAGGCATGAACTGTTATACTGAAGATTAATCTTCCTATACACAAATACACGTACACACTACTCGTTAGATGGTCTCCACCCTTGTCGATAACTTTTCTCGTGCACGCACGACTTTAAATACTAACGGAACTTCTTACTCTATTGTTATTACAATTAGCCCGCTACCTGAACTCGAAAATTCATACGCCTGTCGTACATAAATATATTTATTTTCTCAATTCACTCTGTTCAACCGAAAATAAATTTTTTATGTACTCTAGGCTCCTTATTTTCTGACGACACCCTAATACCAACCACGAAAAATAATATGTATGTCTCAAATATTTGCAGTGAAATTATTTCTGTATTAATAAAGACAAACACCATTATAGAGACTGTCAGGTGCGGTGACCATCTTCGAGTGTACAAAGAAAGCATGTCAGATGCCTAGTTTTCTAGAAACAGACAAACGTTTATCAATATTGTCAGCAATGTGTCCATCTTTTGCGTTTTCGGTTTTCCAACGACCGTGCGCTCTAAAGAGTCTGTCTGAAATTCCATTATTTGCGGCTGCAGAAGCACCGCCTGATCTGAAACTATGAAGGCCAAATAATTTGGCATCTAGACCAATGAAAAAAAGTGCAGCTTTGCCAATTTATCTTGCACGTGTATATGACAATTTTGCATTCTTTTTTCTTAAAACAAATTTGTTATATTTCTTAACATATACAATTGATCTGAAAATATACATATCAGAAGTCAAAACAATGTCACCTGCTTTTATGTAATCTAACAAAATTGCTACGGGACAAAATGGTGTATTGGTTTTAGCTATAACAACGCTTTTTCCTTTCCTGTAACAGTCTGTTTTGCTGCTAGAGATAAAAATTTCTAAATATTCTGGTTTGAAAGCCAGGTTATTGGCCTTAATGGAACAAAGTTCACTATATCTCAAGAATCCTGCGTATGAAACCGTACAAATAGATAATAAACGCAAATCTCTAAGTGTCCTGGGATTACAACATCTATTAAACAAAGTTTTTATAGTAGTAGCATCTATGGGTTCTTTCTTCTGTACAGGCCTATTCAAAATCCTTTTCGAAGATTCGACTATCATGACTATACTACGAACTAAATCAGATTCGCAAGGATCAACTAAATTTGCTAACTTGTGTGCCCACTTTATACTGTAGAAAGCCGTTTCAACTGAACTATAATGCTTTACTGTCTGCATGAGATGTTGTAAATAAAGGCTTACGTACAATTCACTTGCCGGTAGGATTGAATCTATTTCTGGATATTTTTGCGTGCAGGCTAAAAATCTTTTAAAACCGTAAGCATACTTGGAAACGGTAGTCTTTGCTCTCCAATCAATTACTGTGGAACGTAAATGAGACAAAAGTCTTTTCAATTCTGAACTTTGTACACAGTCACTGTCATTCCAAAATCCGGATGAAAAAATTCTCTGCAAACAAAACCTTTTAAATTTTTTTTTAAAGAAAACATTGAATCAACTTAAATATATAAATATAATTACCTCTAATGGCCAGATGTGGTCCAGTGACCAACTATCACCCAGTGGTGAACACAAAAAAGGTCCAATGACCAAATAAAATACATCTCAGAGGTCCAGTGACCAAGTACACTACCAACGTAGGTCCGGTGACAAAGTACAACTGTATAAACATAGCCCAATGACCAAATAATACCATGTCCAGTGACGAACGTTTTCTACAAAAAAGTTTTTAAACATTAGCATTTAGTTTTACTGCTAGAACTGTACCGGAAAATTTTCCGTTTGCAAATATTGAATTCAAGTTATGTCCAGGTACAAAAATTCTATCGTTCTCATGAAAATCTAATACGTATTCCACGTATTCCTTGTAACATAAATTCTCATAAAACAGTAAAGGCCAAAATGGTGCCGAAGGCCATCTAGGGACAACCAAAGTACCTTTTGCTCTGCATTTAACTAAATGGTTAATTGTCTTCGATGCTAGCGAAACTGGAGGTACTAACCAATTGTTTTCACAAGACCAATTACGTGTGAAAGCATCTACAGCTGATGTACCAGGGTTCCAATAAATCGAACTAAATCTTTTAGTTTTTGCGTTTTCAGTATTTGCAAATCTATCAAAACTGTGTGGGCCCCACATCAAATCAAGAAATCTTAAAAAATTCAGGGGGAACACCCCAATCATCTACATCTACTATTCTACTTAATAAATCAGCTTTTTCGTTTTGCTCCCGAGGGATCCAAAGTACGTGTAAAGAAATGTTATGTAAAACACAAATATTAAAAATGTCTAATGCTAAGTTCTGTAACTCGGGCACCTTACTGCCTTTCCGCACTATACTCACAGCATTTTGATTGTCTGT